GACTGTCCGGTCTTCGCTACATTTGGCCGAAGCGTTCGTCGCTGGCGTAAAAAAAGGACAACATACCAGTTAGCGAGGCGTTCGACGACACTTCAAACCAGCAAGATGCTTCTTGCTGGACGCGTGACTGGAAACTGCAGTTCCTCCCATGTTGCTTAAAGAAAACGTTTTGCAGCACAGTGTGCAATGAGCACTGTGAGGATCATTCTGCACGGGCTTAATCCAGCTTGCATATTCCGAAACGTTCGGGTTCATCCAGTCCGAATTAAGGAGCACTTTCTCGCCGCCGACATCGTCAGTGAGAAGGCTTCTCTTCAGAAAAAAAGATGAAAACACTGCCACGGGAAGGTTCCGTCGTTCAAAACATGGTGGGCAGAAAAGGTGGTCAAAAACAACAAAAATGTATACCCAGCATGCCCAGCGCGCACTGCTCAAGGTTGCCAGGCCACGGAGAAAAAAAGGCCAAACTTGTCAACCTTGGCACTACTGCCCCACTGGCTTGGATTGGATCTGTCCCCGTTGGCTGTTTGCGCCAATTACGATGAGCTGAGTGCACGCTCCGCGCCGGGGAACAAGTCGCGAGTCATTTTCCCTGACTGGTTTTTCTTTTTGGCAACATTGCCTGACGATTCCCTGATTTTTCCCGGCGTGTATCATTTCCCTGACAATTCCCGGTTTTCCCGGTTTTCCCGGTTGCTAGACACCCTGGCGTAGTTAGTTGGTGAGCACGCGCTAACAGCAGCCGTGATCAGCTCACGGTGCTGCTTCGCTATAGCGAAGCTCACTTCAAATCTGGATGGACCACGTGGAACGCGAGCTGTTACGCAGACACAGTTCATCAAAGCTTTTTTTTTGCTCGTTCTGGAACCCAGTAGGTCCCAGAACGAGCAACGAACGAAAGGGAACGATTTCCCTTTTGCAGTGACAGCTCAAGATCGCACCTTCAAAGAATATTTACCAGAGCCCTTCATCGCCAACCAACGGCACCATGCAACACGGAGCCTTCATTTCGATTCCAGCTCAATAATATGTTCGGTCAAAATCCAGAGTCATCGATGCATTGATGCGAAAATCCCTCATACGATGATCAATACAACATTTAAACGCTTCCATAACATCCGATCACTGCCGATTGCCACCACATGAAGCAAAATCGAAGTCCAAGCTGTCCGCGTATAGCAGCGTTTGGTCAAAATAAAGACTTTCTTGATTTCAATTATTTGATGCCTATCATATTTGATAAAGATGAATACTTCCTAATGCGCATATTGTAAGCGGACGAACCACTGGCACCTAAAGTATTTATGCCCCTATAGCTTTCTTCTTCAGGAGCTAGGCCTGTACAACATTATTCTGCTGCTTACAATCTGCACTGTGCTGAATTATAGCTTGTCATGGCAGTAATACTGAGATTTTTATACAGACGTGCTACATATCAGTACATTAAAATGAAGGTGATGGCATCTTTATCAAACTGCACAGAAAAAAGAAAGAAAGGTGGGAGAGCAAAATAATATCCCAGCATGAATGTTCAGGCTCGTCTTGTTATGCATGTATTCTCTTCTGTCCTCATTTGAACGCTGTGCTTACGGAAGCACCTATTGTGAAGAACTTGCATACACAGATATCAGTACGCAGCATCGAAATCGGGCACTCTGCACGGCAGTCAAATGCTTTTAACGCACCGTCGCTGTAGCGCTGGCCAGAATTTAGAAAAAAAAGCGAAGGTATTGCAAACAGAAAAACTATATTTGAGCCAAAATATGCGTGGGCAAGCTTTCAGCGCAGTTCCGAGCACATGACACCACTGTGGCAATGAGCGCAACTCAGTGTGACTATTTACAGCGAAAGCTGTATATCGCTAAGAGAAACAAAAACCCTCCGGCAGTGGCGTCACAAGCAGTCCCCATCGTTCACAGCGTCGTGGCGAAGCACGCGCGCCATTTGCTGCATTGGGAGTGACGTCATCCATCCCGTCGCAGTCTTGGCAACGAGCACGCATCAGTTCTTCCCGAAAGCTCCACATCCAGAGGTGTGCCACGTACGACTCTAGAAGATCAGTGACAGTGCCATAGATTTTCATACCACCCGCTTTCGGCGGGAGTTTCGCCGGTGTCATATTGGCTTTGGTTGTGGCGTCTGCAACCACCTATGGTCCGAGAACAACCCCTGTAATTAACGCATTGCGAAACGCATTTAACCACTCATTACACTCCATGATAATGAACATGTGAGGCGCATTGTGAGGCATATAAAATGAACACTCTGGTAAGCCTAAGTCTCGCGTGTCTCTCACTTATATAAGCACGAACACGTAACCAATTTTTTTTGGGAAGGCTTCAACGCTACGTCAGGTTGAACCCACTGCTAAACATCGAGACCACACGTTACAGCTTTCGCTGGATAAGCATTTGTACGGAGTGCACAGGCGGTGTTTTTTTTTTGTCTCGTGGTAGCACACTGACTCATCGCATGCTTCTTTCACGCTGCGAAGGGTGGTATACTGACGGCATCGACAACGCTGCACTCTGAAAAGTGAAATCCACAAACAGCTCATGTTTCGGCACGATGCCCGCGCGTCGTGTGGACCCTTCTGGTACGCGGCTAAAAGTGAGTGCTGACGCTACTGTTCCTTATCATATTTAGTATCTAAGGTGGAACGTATGATTTGTATCAGTTTGTTACATTGAAATCAAGCACTAACATGCACATTAAATGTGGCAGTCTATGTTTCTGACGCGAGTGAAGGCGGCTGATTGGGACTCGCTTTCGTGCGCCGCATCCTCGGCGCTGACATTATCTTCGGTCATCGCTCTTACACAGTGGCGACCGGCTCATTCATGTACAGATGTACAGCGAACTCGTTACGACTTTCACAGTTTGCCAGACTAACATCAACATATCCGATTTCCATAAATAAATCCGGCATCGCCTGCCGGCGAGCGCAGTCAGCCGTCCTTTCGTCCAGCGCGTGATGTCATGGTGCTTCGACCAATCATAGGTGACGGCGAGACTCGTGATGGTGGCCGTGGCGCCTGTTGCTTGCTTTCGGCAAAATAAAGTTGTTCGCGTTGGTTTCTGCAAATTTTCGACTTGATGTTTGAGTTCGCCGGTTGAAACTGCACATCACCACACCATAGCCTCGTTTTTTTTAGGTGTTTCAGTGTTCCTTCAAAAAAGACCTGAAACATGTTTTCAAGTAACCACGGAATGAAGTCACTGGAAGAGCTCATTGCCTCAAGAATTCATTGCCGGAAAAAATTTAATATTCTGTCCTGTGCGAGTGCAGTTACAAAGATTTGTCGCGTGCTGCAGTTGCATTATCTCTTCTCTCGCCCTGGCAAAAGTGCTGGAAGCTAAACAAATAAAGACGGCAGGGCCAAAAAAAAAAAAAATCACCCGCACCTCGTGCTCTTGAGCACTTTTTCTTTTTTTTTTCGAATGCGCAGCTTTCTCAAGGTGATCGCGCACGCACGCGTGGACAAGTAGCGGCCTCCTGCGGAGATATTTGTAAGGAGCGAGTGCGCAAAGTTCAAATTAGCCAATGGCTGATAGATAAGATTTCTACGAGTGATTTATGAGCGTCTTCCTTCATTTGTCGAGAGAAGCGAAAGCAGTTTTTAACCCACTTTGATAATTTATTTTGAATTCCAGGTCACGTGCTGCGCTATATAACATTTGGCTCTCGTATTGTCGAGAGCCTCTACTACCAATCGGCAGACTTTTTCGACTATGCTCAAAAAGTGTTGCAGGGCCCCTTGGGGTAAGTACGAATTAGGGATAGGATATCACTAAGACGTTCAACATTGAAAAGCGAAGCTTAAAAGGGAAGTAAACAGGCTGCGACTTTTCTTATACGCCTCCAAACAAGCTTGCCGACTCCTACATTAGATTGCGGCAATCACATGTTCCGAACATTACCGAGCTGCGCACCTCACAGACTCTCCTTTCGAAAAACGATTCCCTTGCCAAATTTTTTTAACCAGACCAATCTTCCTGTTACACGCAGTGACGCAGACTTGCTTATGGGCAACCTGACGCATCACTGACTTCGTCGACTGGTACTTTGCCTTAGGAAACGCGCCTTGGCTCTTCGCTGATGCAGTTTTGGCCGCACAGTTCATATTTTATTTTCCTGTGGTGCCCTCTGCCATTTGGTAAAGCTAAAGACTACTGGGAGAGGCGGTATGGCCAGAACGAAAGCCCATGAGGTAGGAAGACGTCATGCGGAAGAATCGTTGCTCAGTCGTTGGCTGCATCTCGATGACGTATCACTTACGTCGTATCACGTTGCCTAAGTTGGCGGAGTCACGACGACGGGCTGTGCCTTCGCCTCCCTATGGCGGAGAAGGGTAGAGATTGATTGAATGAAATGATTTTATTGAGGCCCTGCGGGCCAGGTCAATCCTGATGGCCGCTCGCGCCACGCCAAAATTTATCACCTATAATTTTCGCAGTTTATAATTTTTGCGTCCACGCAGAAAATATAAACTTAATTTCCATTGGATACTTTTGATACACAACCCACTAATTTAAAGATTCTGCCACCCATTTCTTGGCCGATCCCCCTTTGATTTGATAGATAATTGGGTGTTAACACCCCAAAACCACCATATGATTATGAGAGACGCCGTAGTGGAGGGCTCCGGAAATTTCGACCACCTGGGGTTCTTTAACGTGCACCCAAATCTGAGCACATGGGCCTACAACAGATCCCCCTTTGCGGTGAATGTCAAAGTTATGAGAGGTACATCATAACCATCACTCCATCGCTCGGTCGTGAAACGCCTATTATCGTGGAACTATGTGGATCATCGTTCGCAAGCGAAATAGGAAAGGGCGCAAGTTCATAACGGATTCGCACGTGTCAGTGACTGGGAGCGATAAAGAGCCACCTCAGGCCGGTGACTGGCTGATTACATAGTGCAAAGGTATGAGCAATATTATCAGCTTAGTCGTCTCGTTTACTCAGGAGTCATGGCTACGATAGTGCCTCTTCATATTCACGTGGATTTCAGCGTCAACATTGCTTCACGCGACTTTGCCGCGCATTCTCCTACGTAAGTGCTCCTGCAGTTACGTTAAAGAATGGAAGGACGTCATGCGTTTGGTCTCAGAGGCTTGAGGCTGGCGTCGAAAATACATTGGCAGCTATTTCCCGTCGCAGCTGCCGTACTGAGCGTGCGGCGAACTTCAACTAACGTAGGTGACAGCGTTTCGGCAGGGAAACATGAGCTGCAAGCGAAGCCCTTCGAAGCGATTCCCAGGGTACCTTCTTTCCCTGTGATCGGCAGCTCGTGGATCTACTGGCGCCTGTTGGGTAAGTTTATTGCAAGTCATGCTCGATAACTTAAGAGTGTAGTATGGTATCACGCACCAGTTAATAGGCGAATGTGAGTCTGCGATCTTGCTAAGCAACTCAGTGTCGCCGTGATCTTATGGTGGGTAATCACCCTGGAGACGATGCGAATGAATAGTTATGAGAACTTGATTAGAGCGGGCACTCGACACACCGACAAGAGAAGACACACATGCAGCGCGATTAGGTGCGTCTAATGATTTAACAAAATAAGCCCATATTACGGCTCTATGATTGATAAACCACCTTGATAAAAACCGAGTGTAAGACGCGACTCGCATTGCTTAGTGCACCAAACACACTTTCAGCGTTTCTATCTATCTATCTATCTATCTATCTATCTATCTATCTATCTATCTATCTATCTATCTATCTATCTATCTATCTATCTATCTATCTATCTATCTATCTATCTATCTATCTATCTATCTATCTATCTATCTATCTATCTATCTATCTATCTATCTATCTATCTATCTATCTATCTATCTATCTATCTATCTATCTATCTATCTGTCTGTCTGTCTGTCTGTCTGTCTGTCTGTCTGTCTGTCTGTCTGTCTGTCTGTCTGTCTGTCTTTCTTCTATTCTATCTATCTATCTATCTATCTATCTATCTATCTATCTATCTATCTATCTATCTATCTATCTATCTATCTATCTATCTATCTATCTATCTATCTATCTATCTATCTATCTATCTATCTATCTATCTATCTATCTATCTATCTATCTATCTATCTATCTATCTATCTATCTATCTATCTATCTATCTATCTATCTATCTATCTATCTATCTATGCTTGCTCTAGTCTATAGTCTGCCTATGTAGATATCATTCTGGAAACTATGGTGTGAACGTCAACATGAACTAAACTCTTCTTAGGTAAGCACCATCCCGACCAGAGGCACAAGGCATCCATGGAGATGTACAAGAAGTATGGCCCCATTGTGGTCGAGAGGCTTCCAGGGCGTTATTCCCTAGTGCACCTGTTCAAGGGCACAGACATTCGAACCCTGTACCACGAGGAAGGGAAGGAGCCGTTCAGAATGGGTGCCACGACGTTCAAGGACTACCGAGCGAGCAGACCGGAATACTACGCAGACGTGGGCATTCTCAACCTGTACGGGTCGACCACTGCAACCGCAAGTTCACGCGACTTTCTTTAGTTATTTTTAACAAAGCAGCCATTTGATCTGAGCGTGATCTGGCTGGTCCGGACAAAAGATGTCATCATCATGAACTGGAACGTACTCTCTTTGTCTCCTTCATTTTCTTCTTTGCTCCCAGAGCACGAGCACCGACTTTCTGACTCGGGACGTAGTAACTCTGATGGGTTGGACAACTAATACAGATGGAGTGAAGGAGAGAGAAAAAGAAGTAAACGTAGATAAAGAGAGAAATTTTAGGGAAATAAGATTCTTCTGTGTGGCGAGATTCGAGCCCGGACAACCACTATCCAAAGGCGAGTGCCACATAGCTATTGAAGCACGTTAGGATAGCATATCACAATCATGTATATTTTATTGCATAATAAATTATTTATAATAAAATATATTATAGTATAGTGTATTGTATAATACCAGTTGTTCAAAAATAAGCTTTATGGTTTTCCTAAAATTGAGCACTAAGAAAAAGATGAAAGAACCGTCTCTCAGATACTTTATGTATCCAGGGGGACACAATGTGAGCGAATAAATATGACTGTCAGTAACCGAATTAACGAAGAACTGATAATTACTTTTTCAGTGACTGCAATAAGCGAACATATCTGTATTAAAAATTGGAGACAGTCGCACTTCTACGCAGTTACACTTGGAACAATACTTCTAGCATGCTTGGGCTCCGAGATATCCCACGGCAAATTTCATTGTGCCATAGCATGATTGTGCATGTAAATCAGCACTGGAACGAAGCTCCTCCCCGATGGGCCGCGCCAGTTGCGTGCGTTGTTTAATCTGAAAATGGGTCGAAAGCAGAGGCAAAGATGATAAAGGTTACCCTTTTACTGCCGGCTGGTGACAGCAAGCTGTGGCTCTTTGTCACATAGTAGACGAGCATTGCGCCGATCTTCACTGCCCTGCATGCGTATTCATGCAAAGCACAATTAATGGACCACTCCGCGGTATATCTCGAAACACAGACATGCTAGAAGATTTCTTCCAAGTGTAACTGCGTAGAAACGCGATGGGCTCTAACTTTTAAATACAAATATGCCCTCTTACTGCAGTCATTGAAATGTTAATTATTGACTTTTAGTTAATTACACCACTGGTAGCCACCATTATTGTCTCACTTTGTGTTCCCCCGTTATCTACAAAGGTGGTTTTTATGTTGTTCTCAGTAATAAATCTTGGGAAAATCATAAAGCCTAATTTTGAACACTCGGCAGTATAGGCATGGGTGGCAAAGAGGGTAATGGTAAGAAAAACCGACATGAGAGAAATGAAGAGGCTAAAGAGAAGAAAGAGCTAGGACAGAGAAAGAAAGAGAAAGGAAGAGAAACAAAAAAAGATGAAAGGCTGAAAGAAAATGAAGGAAAGAAAGAAAGAAATGGACAGTCAGAGAACCAGAAAGAAAGAAAGAACGGAAAAAATATTCGAGCCAGCAGCGCAAAAAGCAGACACAATTGCAAAAAAAAAAAACTGAGGCCCGATAGAAGAGCATTAGCTTGAAATTAAAGTTTATTCTTATCACGCAGAAAATATTAGAAAACGCCACAATCACCCAAGAACACCTTATCCCACTCCCACAACGATAATGGATAAAAACACACCGCAACATCTTACTCGACCCCTATAAAAACGATCAAGCCAATTGCGACACAGTTGAAAACACTAAACGCTGAAACCTCGCAATCGCGTAACGCCTCCGCAAACAGGAGCCTTTATCACACAAAAAATAAAAGATATAATGGCGGGTTAGCTTCAAGAAAAGCTTACTCACAGTGGTGAAGGTTCGGGAAGGATGATTGGCTAATATAGACGAGACCCTTCTTTCAAATAAAAGAAACTTTTATGTCCTTTGTGAACACCTTGTGTATTCCGGAAGAGTTTTTAATTCAATATAATGGTCTCGAGTGCGTCAGCCAGCCTTTCTTGAGTGCTCACGCCTGCGAGTTAGCTTTCCCAGCAACTAATCTGGCACCCTCGCTTTCCTCGAAATGAAAGCTCTAATCTGAGCACCCGTTAGGTGAGTGCAAGGTTTCGGTTTTTAACATTTTTAATTGTGTTGCTATTTGCTTGTGTGGTTTTTTTTCAGGGGCTCATTAAGATATTGTGGCGGTTTGTTGTCTATGATCGTCGTGGGAGCAGGCTGGGGTCCTTGGGCGCTTGTATGGCCTTCTGGTCTTTTTTAGTGATAAATTGGCCTGCATCTCGAGAATAACTTTCGGTATGGAGCTATCGCTCACCACCTGTCCCTGTTTTTTTTTTTTTTTTGAACTACATGCTCAAGTGTGCAAATCTTACAAAGTAGCCAAGATTTCACTTTTCGAAAGAAAGGTGGAAAGACCCAGACATAGAAAAAATAGTGTGAGCGCAGTCACTGGCTCGTCTTGTCATAATCATTTGTATAACTTCCTCGTCTGTAGATATCATCATCATGGTGTGCTGCAGCTCGAGCTCGTCTCGAATAAAACGCTTCCTCATAAAATGAAAATACACTATATTAAAAACAAAACCGACACACAGGAAGCAGTAGAGAGAAATAATGAAATAAAAGAGGAAAGAAGCAGAAAACAACTACGCTTTTTTTAAATTCCTTGTTTATAAGTTAGAAGGTGCTACAGATTTCCTACGTGTAGAGTGACAGAAATGAATTATCTGATTTTCCTCATGAATGACTAGCTTTTATTTGTTGTTTGACCGCATGGGCAACTTATTAGTATGAAGGAGGCTTCAATTCGCTTGAGTGTATTTTAATCTTTGTTTTTTTAAGAAGTCTTATAAGAATTTCTTCACTACCCATATGCAGGTTTATGTCTTGTTCAGTATCATACTTCGAGCCCATCATTCAGGTTGCAAAGTTCTATGCGGGCTGCAAATACTTTAATGTACGCGCAGGCGAGTTGATCAAGAACTTGCAGCTCCTTGACGGGACATTGCCCTCGTATAATATTCGTCCCAGTAACGGGATTCTGGCTATCGGATGAGATAACAAAGATAACAACAAAAAGGGCGCTCTTCACTTGCTTATCGCACCGGCTTGCACTGCATGTTTAGCACTCAATTTTATCGCTGATTGAAGTGACCATAACTCTTGAACTGTGGCCGGCGGCGCTGACAATTACTGAGCTTAAATGCTGAACTGTTTTTTCCGTGGTATGTATACAAAGAAAGCTACAAAGAAAGCTAAACCTTGTGTGATCACTAGATCCAAAGGCAGTTTAAATTACAGCTCGGAGGCGAGTGTATAGGAAACCGAGCTCTTAGTGCTGACATTGTCCACTTGATTTATTAAGAAATAGGCGACGAGGAAGAAATAGCGGCTGTAAGGGGTGTCATAGGCGTGTTCAAGATATCGCTGAAAGGAAGCAGGGGCGAAGGTTCATCACTGTCCCACCCCCACACCCGCCCTTGGGGACGCGAAATCTGCCCCATACGCTGATTCGGAAAGTCAGCGTATGGGGCAGGCTTTGCGCCCACTCCCCTTCTCAGATGAGTAGGAGGCACCCTCCTCCCCTCATTGTTCCTGTTAAATATTGTGTGAACGGCGAAGATAGTCACTATCATCATTAGGGAATTAGACCGGGGTTTGGAATAAAGAAGAGGTCGATCGGGTGGGCTTCACTATGGGCAAGGTGGCTTCCTCTCTTCTTCTTCTCTACAGCTACATAATCTTCTTCCTCTCTACAGCTAGAATAACCTGGCGTTCATAAACTTCGGCTTCTTCCATTTCCGCTTCCAAATGATCGATGTCAACTGTGCTTTCAATCTCCTCATCAATTTCTCTGAGAAGCTCGTACTGTTCAGTCAAAACTCGGTGAAACTTCTTCAACTCACATATTGATGGGTGGTTCATATGCCAAAGGTGTCCGATATCTGCGATCACCTGCGTCACGACCTTGCATGTTTGACTCCGCCTTTCGTAGAGGGCCTCCACGATGCGGTCCAGTGTGGGAAACAGGAGATATCACTGGCCGGCCGTGCCACGAGGCGAAGTCGGAGTCAACACGGCATCCATCGCAGAAAGTTCGCACAACGAATATCCGTAAGTTGTCGGGCTGTTGTTCTTCATGAACTTGCGAATATTGAGCCGTCGTGGTGAAGGGCAAGTTAGGCAGCCGAAGTATACGTGAGGGCTCCCGTCTCGCGAGCCTCCAGTCGATGCCTGCACTCACGTTGATTCACCTTGCAGATGTACGTAGTCGGCCTCCATGGACTGTCTTGCCTTGCGATTATCGGGCCGTCGTCATGAAGGGCGAGTCAGGACGGAGCCAAAGTAAACGTGAGGGCTCCCGTCTCGCGAGCCTCCGGACGATGCCTGCACTAACGTCAGTCCATGGGTGCTCCTAGTGGTCTCAGTTGCAACCGGAGTCACGCTCCCAGGTCTCGGCGGTGGTTAGGCCTCGCACATCAGCTTTGCCCACGGCGGCTTCACAAAAGTCCTCGATGCTACGACGGCGGTCGAAATTCGTGAAGTCTACTCCGTCTCACTTCCGAAGGTCCTTCCTCCCGGGCTTTGGCACCAAAATATTGATTAAAGGACTAGCCGCCTTGCCCATGGCGAAGCCCACCCGATCGACCTGTTCTTTATTCCGAACCCCGGTCTAATCCCCTAATGATGATAGTGACTATCTTCGTAGTTCACACAATACTTAACAGTTCCGACCCGAGCCCACGCAATGAGGAGGGTTCCCTTAGCCTGGTCAACACGCCAGGGTCCTCCTGTCTCGCCAACCGCCGAATGTTTGACTGAATTGGCCATGTTCTAATCTGCCTGGTCACGCGTTCGTTTTTTTTTCTTGCTCGTGCAGTCAGAGAAAAGCGTGGCTAAAAGTTCGAATGAGCACACAACAACACACGCTGCGCGTGCGGACAACAATGTCATACTTGCCCATCATGAACAAGATCGTGGAGGAAGCCTTGGACTTGCTCGAGCAGCTCATGGATGAAAACGGCAAAGTGGAAAACTGCTTCACCTTCATGCAGCGATGGGCTCTGGAAAGTGAGTGCCATCAAGGACGTGGCTGTACCTCCACGTGAGAGAGGGTGGTGGTATGGTGAACTCTAATGTGGACGATTCATTACGCCGCGTTTAAGTATGTATTTGGGAAAGTGTCGTCATCTGGACTTGACTTCACATTTGATCAACTGGAGGCTTCAAAGTCATAAAAATATTAGGGTTTATTAAATTGCGATGAAAAGAAACTGAATTGTGAGGAATAGAAATCTGAGCAAACCAGGATTTCAAAACTACCGAGATATGGTACTGCAGGTTGTGTGTGACTACAAAACAGCACGAAAAACCACAAGACATCCAAAACGAGAACACATACAACTCTGACTCTCAAACATTTGTTGTAAGAAACGTACGCATACACACGATGAGCACACACATAATACTGTGTCATCAACAGCAAAACTGAGACATACTATGAAAACTGCTTCCGTTATTGCAATACTGCCCAAGGAAATGGATTACTTACAGAAGCGGTTCTTTTAATCAGTCTCAGTTGTCCAAGTTGTGGCCAATTTACGCTATGTAACGCAGTACTATGCGTGTGATTGTCATGCGTATAGGTGATGCATTTATTTTTCACGATAAATTGTTGAGAGTCGGAGCTGCAGGTGTTCCCTTTCCGTGTGTCCTCTTGTTTGTCGCGCTGTTTTGTATTCAAGAGGGATTGCAGAGGTGAAATCATTGATCATGTTCTACAAGACCTCACTATCTGTAAATTTGTCTGGTTCTTTGTCTGTTTACTTTTCAATAAATATTACGAGTAACCTCAATGTTTTTCACTGGATGACCAACCTACAGGTTAAAGAATACAACAAGATTTCATGTAAAAATATATTTCTTTAAAGAAAATAGCCGGTGGTGGTGATGGTGGTGGGGGGGGGGACTGAAGTTTTTTGTGGATCAACAAGTGAAATTCCAATCACTCGCTGAAGAAAAATGGTTCATCCGCCAAAAAAAAAAAGCTGTAATAGGGGTCCGTAGGTTAAATAGCAATAGGTAATCGTGCTGTAACGTAACTGGACGAACGGGACACAACACAGTGCGTAGTGCCAACAGCTGCTCATTTTAGGATCAATTTCCATACATATTAACAATTTACCAACAATCCTAACTTTTTTCAAAATAAATTAGTCTCATGCAAGAAACACAGGCCTTAAGAACCCCATGGTTATGTTCTCTAAATAGCTTCAGGTATTTGCCTTACTACCCATGTACCTGCGCTATATATGACAAAACAACACAAAATAAATAGATGCTTGCTTGCGATCCATACTTTGGTGTGTCGAGTTCTTCCAAGAACATCACAGTACAATCAGCCAAGACATTTTTCTGCTTAGAAGCAAGAAAACTCGCTTCAGAGCCAATTAAATATTGTCGTTTAATTAACACGAATGTGAAAGCGCCAGTGGAAAAAAAGAACTGTCTCTTGACTTGCCAGCCGGTAGGCAGCCAGGTGATGTAGACGGCTTACAGTCGTATAGCAAAAGCAAAGTAAGCCATTGTTTGGCTTACTTTGCTTACTTTGTTTGGCTTACTTTACTTGGAATAATAAAAAGTCTGCTTTTACGTCTTAAAACCAAGATATGCTTACGAGGGACGCCATAATGAAGTGTTCCAGATATTTTGACCATCTGGAGTTCTTTACCGTGCACTGACATCGCACAGCTACACGGTCCTCTAGCATTTCACCTGTATACCGAAGCGCAACCATCATTGCAGGAATTGAACCCGCGACCTTAGGCTCAGCAGACGAGCACCATATCCGCTACCTCGGCGGATGCCGGCTGAGCGCGTAGTGAAATTTCCCCGATGCAAGGTCGAATGTATCGAACGTTTTTGCGTACGTAAATTAAAAAAAAGCGCGATTTTCGTGTGTTAGACAATCGAATAGGAATCGAACGAAAGCACGATGCAGCATCCATGAAGCAAAATAAGCCAAAACCTCCGTAAGCTTACGTTACAAACTAAAAGAATAAAAGGCCCTATAGGCATGCCTCCTAGATGAACGCCGACTGACAGTGTGCAATAAATGTCAAAAATACGCATATGACTTGAGTGTCTGACATAAAGTGGTGGTTTTTCAATAAGAGCATTTATTCTCTACAGACGTTGGCCTTCTTTGCACAATATCACATTATCATTACCATTTCTGACTCGCAAGCTCATCGAAAAGCTCGTTATACAAATGTATGGATAATGTGCTTAGGTTTGCTAGCAGCTATAATTACCGGGCAGGCATCCATCATAGTTTCCTGATATATGTACTAGTGATGATTCAGCCACCACGGAAATCATGGGTAGTACATTAATTCGCCAAATTTTCGGGCTGGCTGCTTCAAACGCACTCAGTGTGGATTTCTTTATTGTGGTGTTTTAGCGTTTGTTTCGGATAAAATAGTGGATTGTTGCGAACTTCATCACCCGGTTTGAGTTGATGAGCCTAAATGGCCAAGGTAGTGAAGTGGAACTTCATCTTGCGTGAAAACGGCTGCAGGTGACACGGATTCAAACAGAACCGAAAATACGAAGCTTAGACAAATCCGTGCTCTGCCTATATTTCTATTGTTGGCTCAAGCACCACGCACTGCAACTCTCATAGACGCTACCATCACAATTCACTCTATTGTATTACTATGAAACTCTATGTTGTATATAACTAACAGCCACTGCCGATGGGAAAACACAGTTCTACTAGGCTAAGTCATTATAGCTCCTAAATAACCCTCAAAAAAGAAAAAAAAGAAATTGATGCGCGCTACGCCTCCTTGAATGACAACTTAAACTTATTTCCGGCAAAAGTAAGGAACTGGTCACAAAATCAACGCAATAATTTCGGCACCAACAGCCGGAAACAGTTCAAACGTGTTTACAAAAAAGATCTGATTATCATAGACAGTCATGCACCAGCGTTTTCTATTGGAAAGTTGCATGAGTAATATGTGTTACGGCTGCATCATCTGTGAACTTCTACAGTGCCAGAGAGTGCACGGTTAGTTAAAGAGTAAACCAATTATTTAGCCGTAACGTTAAATCAAATTGCGAAAAGTTACGAGAAAATAAGCGGAAGTGGTTCCTTGGTAGGTGGCTCTTACGCGAGCTCGAATACTCGAGTACAAAGATAATACGAACATGTGCGCCATTACGCTATCTTAATATAAACGTTCGTTCAAGTTCTATGGCTAAAACCAACATGCTGCGGGCCAGCTTATTTTCTGTCATTGAATAAGCACAGGAAATGAAGCCACAAAAGCTTCGGCAGGAGCGAGTGACTCACGACACCATCTGGAAACACTGTTTCCACATTTCACGAGTTACGCGTGGCAAATCATGCGATGAGTCAAGCGAGAATGGCGTGAAGGGGGCTGGAGTAGCAAAATCTGACACGCATTCAACCCATATCTTGTGTATCACCAAGAACCTTAGCTTCCACAACACACCGAGACGCCATTCCCCCTCCCCCCATTCGGCCTACAGCAGCCTGCAGCTTTTACTCGCATACTGCTAGCAGTGATCAACACTAAATTAAGTTTGCTGCTAATTCTGGAAGATTTGTATACTACACATGACTGCTGTTAAGTTACAATATACAAATTTCGCCAAATGTTGTCATACTCTCGCTATGTAATTGTCAGTGTATATCAACATCGGCTTTTTTTTTTGCCAGAGTCACTACGCTCTTGCGGGCGCTCAGACACTTAGGTGTTGCCATGTTCTGGCAGCCAGCATGTATTCATAGCACATGGCAAAGTAAAAAGTATGAAAAAGAATTTCTTTCCCGTGTTCTGCAGCAGATTTTACTCACTAGCCAAACTCACATGCATGACCTTCGAAACGCACCGCATGAAAGCTTGTTAAAGCACTTCAGACGTTCCCTGATGATGGTGAAATCGGTAGCAAATACTAGATAGAGTGCATCATGTTCACCTCACACCCTTCATCTAAGATTTGGGTGGACGTTAAAGAACCCCAGGTGGCCAAAATTTCCAGAGCTCTCCACTATACGGTGTCTCTCATAATCATATGGTGGTTTTGCGACGTCAAACCCACATATAAATCAAATCATCGCCATCATCAGTGCATCAGTCAAATTACATGCTTCTCGCGTTCTTATACAGGGTTTATTGAGAAAATTATCCGCTATGATTGAAAAATTATTAAAAGGAGGCATCTGCGTGCTATCCGCGGTTTTCCCTTTACTGTGGCAGAAGACGTCCTTAGATGTGTACTAACAATAATGATGGCAGTAATTCATGAAATCAACACAATTAGTTTTAAGCAGTCGAAATAAGCGGTTGAGTCAAGTGGGCGAATTCAATTCCTGCCTGCGAGTAGTTCATAGCAACTTTGAATTTTAAGTGTGAATACACTTTATAAGCGACCCCAAACCATCCACCGCCGTCGGCGGCGTCCGCAGTCTTCTCTCTATCTTTAAAAGAAAGAGGACTTGGCGGGCCGCAGCGCGACGCTCTACCGAATAAGCCACGGACGCGACGCTGATATCGGTGTCAGTAACGCGCCTTATACCCCCTCCCCCTTCGCTCGCTCCTCCGCTCTCCTCGCTCGCTGCAGCAGCGCGCGCACCCCTCTCTCTCGCGCGCCCGCCTTCTCTCTCAGTCTCCCGTCGAGAGCGGGTCGTGAGGGGGAGTAAAGTTAAAATCCGTTGGCATTTGCCAGTGCGTTAACGTAAACTCCCCCGTGTCATCAAATTGCGATTCCCAGGAACCATTACACCATAAAGGCACCATAGTGTGTGTGATTAATAAATATAATAGTGCGAATTAATAAATACCCCTCATAGCATCACCCCGTGTATTCGCACTTAACCATGTTCACCCTCGGGGAAATGCTTGGGAGTTTTTTTTTAGAAAAGCCGTCAGGGGTAATCGCTGCGGGGCGATGAAATCTGGCGAATTCAGCAGGCGAGACCGAAACCGACGCATCAAACACCATCACTAACATTCACTTCAAGAACGCCTTCCGTGACGACACTGCTTCCCTCACCCTTACCAACTACCAATCTACGAATCGTTTCGTTGTGGCGTGGTCCTTCCGCATGGCCGCTTATCGACGCTCCTTCAATACGAAGGAAACAGTGTCATCACTGAGGGATTTTTCGAACTGAATGGTATATGGATGCGCTGTCGGGTGAGTCTGTGTCGCCTGATAAATTAGTCAGATTTCATTGCGCCGCGGTGATCACCCATGGCTGCGTTTCACAAATTCGATAGTTGTTATGAACTATTCGGAGGAAGGACTTGGGTTCGCCCATTTCACTAGACCGCTGATTTCCACGAGGTCAAAAATGTGTTAATTTCTACAAATGCTGATGTAATCAATTTTAGTACGCATCAGAAGATGCCCACTGCCTTTTTAAAGGAAACGCCACAGGTAACACGCTGATACCTCCTTTTTGTTATTCTTCAATAATCATGCACACATTTTCGAAACACCATTAGTATTTCCTTATCCCTGTTTCTACTTTCACTATCATGCTTGTGTACAAGTTGCAGGTATGTGGTATGCAGCCGTGCATAAACTTTTTAGAGTTTAGAGCCATGTTGGAACAATGGAAGCAATGGGGGGAGGGGAAGGTATCCTAGCCCCCTCCCCCGAAATTTTGACGAAGGGGGTACTTTACCGAAAACAAACGATAAAAATTGGGTGTTCAAATAGTAACAGCCTTCAGCAAGAGCCCTGCCCCCCCCCCCCCTTCCCCTGTATCTCGAAAAAATTCCTGGCTACCGGCATGTCCCAAGTTCGCGGGTGCAATTCTGGCTGTGGCAGTCACATTTTCGTGCTGGTGACACCCTTTTGTGTGCGTGGTCGTTGTGTAACCTGGTGCATGCTGCCATATGTCAGCATGTTCAATAAAGTCCACAAATATAGAGGCCCCTGTAGTTTGATTTAAATGCATGTTAAAAACTACAGGTGCTCGAAATTACCAGAGACCTCCAGTGCTGACACACTATATCGCGGTTTTGGCACGTAAAATTCGAGAACCAAAAAATATAAATTTATTGACAAGTTCTAAACTCTGCATGTATATTATTGCCCCGCAGGCGTTGCCTTGACGTCTGTTGATGCCAGGCTAGGCTCCTTGACTCATCCGCTTGATCTCAACCTCGAAGGCCCCGCCATACTCGAAGACATGAAAATGATCGTCGCCTGTATGCAGAAGTTCGGCATACCGGTTTCCATATTTTCGATATATCCGCACGCCCACCTGGCAGCGATTCGAAAAAGCCATGGACGACTTCACTGTGTAAGGAGCATTCAACTTCCGTACTTTATACTCCATTAAAACGTGAGATGACAACTCTTATAAACAGCCTGTCAGTACAAGTGAACATGGTGGGATAAACATTTATATATGTACGGCGTTATGTAGTCCTTAAAATAGTTCGAAGGCAAAGCTGCAGTCGTTTAAGCCCGGGAAGAAGTCATTTCAGCAAGTTTGTTGAGACCCGTAATGGGCAGAAGCGCAAAATACAATGACAAAACGATACAAAATACTCCACACACCTTCACGAAGTGAATCATGACGAGCGGGCGCCGCTCTGGGTATCGTATTTGTAAGTGACCGCACGTTACCTGGCGTAAAGTGTATATACAAACGTAAATTTATTTCGCCCAGTCGTCTTAGGCACTTCAAGGCGGATAAAGGAAAATGCTAAAATAGAGGACATGCCTTGAAGATCAATACTTGATCCCGCCATCTTACCGGTGGCAAGATATAATTTTAATGTGGGTAACTTGTTGGGACGTAGAAAGCTCGACATTTGCTTCTAAGCACAGTTTGGTAAACATTCACTACATACTGTTCTCGATAAGTTATTTCACCGGAAACCATGATCGCTTACCCTAAAATTAGCCTATGTCTATGTTGAAATCTGTTGTAAAAGCTTTTTGCGTGCGTGTGTGTGTGCGTCTCACATCTGTTTTGACTAATCAACGGCTATATATTGTGACTACAACTGAAGAGAATGATAACTCCTAATGAGCTTCACCTCTAAAACAATAAACGTGAGTAACGCTTGGGTATAGTCCCTCTGAGCTGCTTTTTTTCTTGTGCCGATGGCAACTTGATAAGTGACTTAGTTAATTAATACTTCTTTTCGTTTAGGAAAGGTGACCACTATAAAAAGTATTTTAGGATAGCTTGAAACCGTCAGAGCAACGTAAAACATACTAAATTATTAACTGTAATTCGACAAAACATAAAAATAAGGACGGTCCAGAGTAACATTTCAGGCACTTTATGACCTCCGTGGTGTTCACTGTGTACTGACGCGTTAAGTAGCGCGATGCCACACACCTGCCAACTAACATATCGCTTAAAATATATATAGTACCAATAGGGAGGAGCCCAATTTAGGCAGAACTTGATTGTTTATATGGTTCAGGCGCATATTCCGACACATCGAGGCTGCAGCCGAAAGAATGACTTCTGAAGATTCGGCTCACGAGCCAACCATACTGGAACACATGTTGCGAGAGAAGAAGCTGTCGTTTGGAGAAATTCTAGCATTCATCAGTGACTTCAACCTCGCGGGAGTGGACACGGTGAGTATACCAGGAGGCAATAAGCTAATATTGCGAGTTCTGCTCGATGTCACTGGAGTTTATGCTTATGCTTAGATTTCCTGCGGTCAATTTTTGTAGGTCACAGGTGCCTTAGTACCTACAGCATTCATGAGAACTAAGGGACAATTACGCCAGGAGAGCATAGGGGATGCTATTAGTAGTCATTGTAATGTAAACGTGGAGCAATAAACGTCGACAAAAGATAACTTGCTGCCGACAGCAACCGAACATGCGACCTTCAAATAGAGCGTCCGACGCTCTACCAACTGGTCCCTCCTTACGTCTACTTTATAGGGTATATACATAAGCATCAATAAATGTAGAAGTGCCTAACAAATAAAATGAGCCCTTAGCGTAACCCTTCTTTCTTTAGTACCTACAGATACGTCTCCACGAAATAAAATTTTAAAGCCTGTTACGAGATACGAATTATACTAATCGATCTTGCCCTATACGTGTACGCGTAAGTGCACTTATAAATGAGTGTGAAATGAACAAGTGTTTTGTAGCGCCGCCATCATCATCATCATCCTCATCATCACTGTCATCATCATCATCATCCATATACAGTCACTACGCCACGCCTCTCGCACAGCTCATGAAGTTAGAGGTGCAAGTCAGAGTAAAACACTTTAGTCCACTTCGTCTTATTGTAATAAGGTGGCGAAAAAGGTACGGCCCCGTCGGCTGCCGTCACGTCGTCTCACGTCTCCTTCTCTTGCTACATTGGTGATCCGAAGAACATGGTATTCGACGAGTGACCTACTGCCATGCTTTCCGCGACTCTGTCCACCAATGAAGCCGTCCCACCCGGTCTACACCCTAGCGTGGTTCATGCAGCTTCACGCCATCGTCACGCTGAATGGCATCCCCGCACAACAGCTGGTGCACGCCGTCTTGCGCATGCTTTCCTGGTTGAGCTCAGTCATTTGCACTGCTGCGTCGATATCAACCCGATGTCATACGACTTCCTGAGCGCCTTGGTTTAGGCCTGCTACGTGGAAAACCTACCACCCACTCCGGGTGAGCCGCGAGTTCCAGGCTGCCCCACAACTCTACGAGCGGTACTAACTGGACAGAGGTCCTTTCGTGCCGAACACGGGAGAGGAGTTGGTCCCTGGTTACACGTCATTCAGCCTCACGTCCTGCCACCGGCGCATTGATTTATGCTCCCGACCATCCGCTCAAATAGGTACGGACGTCCCTGCTGCCTTAGACTCATACACTGAGAGCACCGTTTTTTCTAAACCCTCTGCCTATGCTCTTCTAGGTGTGGTGACCATCTGCACGTTTTCTCCGACCTTCACGAGCCATGACACCTCTGGCATGTCAGGTTTCACGACGAATACCTTACCGCTCGACACGCAGTCTGCCACGGCGATGAACATTGTCTTGCTTGCTATTGGCCCCACAATCACGCAAGTATCACCACCGACGGTGCCAGACCGACCTGACTTTTCATCGACCTCGAAACTTTGAGCATCTTATCAACGAACATCATCGTCCTCGAAGTCTACCGCAGCAAAACTTCGTGCCCCTCGCTAGCCAGAGCCGATCGTGAGGTATGCGGCCGCCATGACCTGAAACTCCCGAGAACCCATCATCTGGCTCGTGATCGCCACATGTAGAGCAGACCACGTGAGTCCTACCGACCATACAGAGAGGCAACCAGCCTATTACCCCGCATATACATACTCTGCTTTACCGGCCAAGCAAAGTTTTTCAGAGAGTGCAGCTGGTGCATCTTCGAGTCTATCTTCCGTGTCCAGTGCACTTCCTGTCGTCCCCAAATTTCGTTCTGACGAGCTACTAGCTGTGACACAAGAACAATCGTACGAACATTCAAGGTACGAGCTTGAATGCTGCCCCAGCACCAACGTCCTTCCCCACCTGACGCTATGACATGAGCCAGCATGGAAACTTTATTCGTGTCATTAAAGCACAGATGGCCTCGCTTGTTGACCCATTCCATAGCTAGTTTGCATGCCAGCGTTCGCCAATGGCCGGGCCCGTGAAGAAAAACCTGACACACTTCGGTTCGCGTTGCGCAATTGTAGGAACCACTCCTATCCGCACACCGCGTACATCCACCATACACTGCGACTCACAGGTTTGGAACGGACCGTGGCTTCAAGGTTCCTTTGACTCAACAGTCCTTGTGATCTTCCACCTTCACGCAACCATGTGCTTAAGAATCTGTACCTGAGTGCGAAAAGCGGTCACCTTCGCTGACAGGGCTTGTGCCGTGCCCAGCAGATTTCCTTCATGCGAATACGACGCCTGTGTCCTCGACACCGACGGCTCCTTCCGGCAGCTTGCCTTCGTCACGACTTTCGGACGCCACGCAGCCTTCAGAGCCGCCCGGCAGAGACCCACTGGTTCCCGATGGTCCCTTCAGGTTGGCGACCTCAACTGCTCACGGACGCCTTGTTGGCGTTCTGGACACTTCTATACACGCACCCATATTTCTCACTTTCGCTTTCATCGTTGTGGGGGGTAGTGAGGGGTAATCTGTAGTGTGATAATCATCATAATCATTCCCATTCAACATCAATATCATTTTCAAGTCACTTCGCAGGGCCTCTTTCCGAGCTCTTGCCTATAGCTAGAGGCATGAGCCAAGTAAGAACGCACGCTCTCGAGGCCTGCATCCGCCACCGCAGCCACTCCGCTTCTCTTTGGGGAGAACGGCGCGAGCACGTCAGCCACCTTCACGTCATCTCACGCATCCCTCTCTCGCTTCACAGTGTTATGAGATAAAACATGAATGAGCCAAAGCTTCCCGAGCCACTGATTTTTACGGGTTATACACTTGTGGAAAGAGCGCTCGGACATGATCGATATTAGTTGTATTTTTTTATTTGGCTCATTTGATGACGCAAGACTGGTGCCCCAGCGGTGACTCTTTAAGTGGTTCTCATGGGTTTGAAATTTTATATACAAGATTGTCAAACGTGTTAAGAGTATAGCTGTCGAGCATTAATGGCTATTTCGCACCGAGAGAAGCTATGGCAAGATTAGAACGTTTAAAACACAAAAGAAGGAGGAGAAAAGGAGAAAAGGAAAAGAACGGAAGGACAGGGGCGGGGGTGGCATAGCTAGTTTCTAGACCTGCTGGCTACCCTTCTCCAGGTATCTAAACCTTTTTGTGCATTGAAGAAGAGGTTTTATACAGAGCCAAAGTAGTTCCCTGATTCTTTCTTTAGAACTCCAAAGCCGTGACAATTTGTGTTCATACATTGGTTGAAGCCCGCTAAGCACCACTGGTCCACTGAAAATGAAGGCAACACTTTGACCAACAAACTCATATGTGCCACAGAAATTGGGTCAATTTACTGCATGCCACATCCACCGAAAAGAAGGCAGCGCTTAGCCTAACAAATGACGTGCGCATTACCATGACCACCGCATTGTTACGCCATAAATTATGATCATGAAGTGTCTGGTTTCTATACCACCACCTCAAAGCTGAACAAAGTTTGCTTAATAAAAAGCAGTGACCATCTTAAAAGAAAGATCTTCTGCAAACCATTGTGTGAGAGCAGTATCTGATCAAGATAGAATAAAACTATACTACCACACGAAGCTTAGCAACGACTGTGTAACTAAGAGCAGCGCTACAACATTTCTCAAGTACTTGCAAAATATAAAAGCGGGTTAGCCTTTTTTTTGCTACAGTGAATAACTTGCCGAAATTTTGCACATGCGCTTTATCGTGACTGCAGCCTTTAATAATCCATTGATTCGTCTTACCGTTTCAATTGGCCAAACCAGTCGCAGTATTATCCGCCACTGAAGAAATTCCGTCTGACCATATGAAAATGGTGTGGGTTTAGGGTTTATATAAAAATGAGGTATCACACACTGCGATACCCCATGTCCAGCGTTTTCAATGGGTACGCGTCCTTGTGCAGCACATGTATATGGGTGGTGTGCTTTAATGAATACGCAGCAAGATATTACTTCTCTACTTAATCGTGTGCCGTACGCACTGACTGAAATTTTCAGACGGCGACAGCAGCAACATTCCTTCTGTTTCACCTCGCGAAGAATCCACGGGCTCAGTCGAAAGCACGAGAAGAAGCTATAGCTGTGCTCGGTGAACACTCCAACACTGTTGGACCACACCAACTGGAGAAGTTCTCCTTTCTGAAGGCCTGCCTGAAGGAAAGCATGCGGTGAGCGCTATTGCCTTTCAGCGAACGCCTCAACTCACTTCTTTTATATAATGAGATTACAGTGCGAATTCGAATGCCCCGAGCCACGTGTAAATGTTTGTGAATAGGCCTTACCAGGTGTGAAGCATTATTCAGTGAAAACGTGTTCTGAAGGACGTTCCGGTCTGTACTTGGCTTCTGGTTATCATTTTAAATAATGCAATAATTATGTGGTATAAATTACTCTGACAAGTTGACACCCAGCTTAAGACACTGTTAATGTGAAAATAGAGTTGATCCCTCGCTTAGTGACTCACTCACTGCTTTTAACGTTTGATATTAAAGACGTAAAAGATTACAGGCTACAATTTTCGAGACACCACTTCCCGATGGCGTGGTTTCACAGTTGTCTTCCAACTGCGCCTCAAGGGTTGGATCTTGGCTGCTGAGGCATTCTTTGCGCTAAAATCTACGTTACGCCCTCTGGCCCCTTTGTGGAGCAAACGAATTCATCGAAGTGCTTGCCCAACAGCTGACTTACCAGTTACACTACCGAAATCTACTCACTGTGGTCGAGAGCCAACAACGATTGGTAGTAAAGTGGGACTTGCTGCAAAAGCACGCACCCATGAAACTCTGGCTAATGCTATTCAATTTCTGAGCTTTTTGAGCGCCAACAATATTGGGACACGTCTGGCTTCATTCAAGGACCACATCCTTAGCGCGTGGCAACAAACTCGTTAGCCCTGGTTATTGATAACAGATTGATAGATAAGCTAGGCTAATTTTGGCTTAACATCACTAAATGATTGCTAAGGCTAACTAGTGTTGCCTAACCATCGATGATGCTGCTCGGTGATTTTAACACATGGTTAGTTGTAGATAGAGTTGGCTAAGGCGGGTTGCAGTGTTACGAGAGTAAATTTAGCTTTTTTATTTATAATTGGAGTTCTGTGATAGCGCTGTTAACTAAAGAGTGACGAGGCTTATAATATAATAATAATATAATAATAATAATAATAATAATAATAATAATAATAATAATAATAATAATAATAATAATAATAATAATAATAATAATAATAATAATAATAATAATAATAATAATAATATTAATATTGTTGTTGTTGTTGTTGTTGTTGTTGTTGTTGTTGTTGTTGTTGTTGTTGTTGTTGTTGTTGTTCTTGGCCACAAGCCATGCCTTACGTTGGGCCACAGATTAGTCAAGCCGCGGTGCCCTTATTTCGATGAAGGCAATATTCTCCAGCCCCACACACCTATAGATTTAATTAGGTGGCTGTTAAAAAACACTACGTCGATATATGCGGAGCCCTGCACTACAGCGTTCCTCAATATAGTATCAATGTTTTGGGACACAAAACTTCAAGACTAATCATTGTTATTATTTAAGAAATCGTTGAAGAAGGACACGTTTTTCACTGGCAAGAGATAAGCTACTGAAAATATTATGTGGACAGACAAATTGCAATCGATCGCAGCCAACTGTTGAAGTATTAATGAGAACTGCTACTCGAAAAAGAGAATCACTTACTTTCAGAAAATGTGTGCCTAGCAAAGGTGAGAATGAACTCGAGAAAGGAATAACAAAACTCTAACCTACCGTTTCTTACGTGTATAAGATCCCACGGAACCAAATTTGAATATTTATCAACCATTCAATACGTGTTCACTCGCTACTTGCAGGTTGAAGCCCAGCCTGCCGGGAATCTACCGAAAACTGGACCAAGACGTCACTATGTCCGGCTACGTTATTCCAGCTGGGGTTAGTTTTGACACGTCATAATACTCCTTATTATGATGGTGTACAAGTGAATGGCAATAAATCAGTTGAAAAGGAAGCCACGAAGCTTGCGATGAAAAATTCGTAAACATGGGATGGGTCCTGGAGCCGATGTTCCGAAGGTGGACTTGTCTTTTCAGTAGCAGGCTTCAAAAAGACAATTTCATGGCGGTGGTAATGCTGTAGGCCCGTGTGTTCAAATTTGGGTACATGGTAAAAAACCCAGGTGGTTTCCGGAGCCCTCCACTACGGTGGCTCTCATATTGTGGTTTTAGGGCGTTAATCCCCATATATCAATCAACCAAAAAGACAAGTTCCCTTGGCTAAACATCGGCAGCACCACTCATTTCCTGTTCACAAAATTCTCATCATAAATCAGTTTTGTGATTTAGTAGCATTCGTGTAACCGTGAGATCCAACTAAATCGAACGGCATAATGGTTGTTTCGCCAACGTGTAAAAACGAGCCCGTAGCATGGAAAACAAAGGGACATTGTATTTATAGTGCCCGTTCCTGTGTTGATCAGAGTCGCTGTTGTCGGCGTAACTGCTAGAGTGGACGAGGACGAAAGAGAGGGAAGAAGAGGCTGTCTCGAGCAGTTTTCCGCCAAGAAAGCCAGCGAGATTGTCTGCAATGTTTGGTGCCTGTTGGCGCTTCTGACAGCGCAACACATGCCTCTCGTGCAAGAGGATGTATGTAGGCTTGCGATGCTTCGTAGAAGACGTGCACAGGTCGAAGGGGCATTGTGTGTGGAACGCTCTAGCGGACGCTTGACGGCGATTTTTAGTCCGGTGCAGTATTTGGGCAAGCCGGCAGCGGCGGAAGTTCGCGATGTCAGGTACACCGCCTTATGCCTGTTTCGCACGCGAGCGAATCAGTGGCAGCCACACGCGCGGCAAGCGAGATTTCTTCACATGCGCCGGCTTTGGAGCGACGCCAGCCGCTCTGATGACCAGTGTTTCCTGCGCGATGCCGAGTCGCTGCGAGCTCTGCCCGGCTTGCGCTACCACTCCTGGAATCCGTCCCTGCCGCCGCGTGCTCTCCACGTCACTGCTCCCCCAATGGTCAGATGTTTTGCCACGAGTGAATTTTTCTAACTCTGGCGATGTTTACGGCAGTGTGTCGTCGTCTGTAAACGCTCGAGAAACGTGTTTCGGGCTCGTTCGACGGCTGCCGCTCCGCTTTTGAGGAAAATCGCTCGCATGTGGCCCGTGGGATAGGCTTTACCTTGACGCGAAAAATCAAGCATTCCTTACTCTCACCCGGTCTGCGCCACGTCAACTTGACGTGTGCACATTTGCTCTATTAATCGGAAACACAGAACACCTAAGCAGTTGCACTAAGTATTCGTAGTAGGCACTGTCGTAATCTTCGGGGTTTTTTGTCGTCCGAGGTTATAGTTGCTCATTTTAAAAATTCAGTGAGTGCTGCTTTATGTCGGCTCAGCTAGACAAAAGCCCGCGGATGTTGCCCTGGGTGCTAAAATTACCTCGGCACCTTAAAACGTTTTAGCATAGAGTTTATTTTATTGCATTTCTGTGCCGATACACTTCACCAAACATGATAGGCCCAACTGTATATTGATTTAAATATCCCTAGGTTCCCATACTCGTGGACGGTTTCGTCGCCGGCCGGGCCGAAGAAAACTTTTCTCGTCCGGAGCAATACATACCAGAGCGCTGGCTGAAAACAGAGCAAGAAATTCTTCCCCACGACGGATATGCTTCGCTGCCCTTCAGCTTTGGTCCGCGAATGTGTCTGGGCAGGAGGATAGCAGAGCTGCAAATATGCACACTCGTCGCTAAGGTAACGTATGTATGAATACCTTTGTTTACTCTGAAGGGCGCAATAGTACTCTTACCAATGCTGTCTTGGGAAAACGTGGTACAACTTGAAATAGAAGTATGTCGGATTATTTAAGTATTCCTGCAAGTTCTAGCATTAGCGTCTCCAAAATAATGCTTAATACAATAATAAAGCCTAATACAATCAGAAAAAAATTCATTCAATTGTTTCAATTGTTTTGTACCAAAAAAACTAGGCCGTTGTATATAGAGTCAGCCCAATGCGTTTTAAGCGCCCTCGTTCAGTACCCGATCTCTAAAAGCTTGATGTCACGCAGGTAGTTAATCTGGTTGAATGTGCAAGTGGCACGTGCGTTGCAGGCAACTTTGGTCGACGTAATAGCGAACAATTGTCCTTCATAACCTTCGAACTCTTTATGATTTGTTTTGGTTACAAATAAAGCAAACACAATCGCAATTGGCAACCAGGCTTTTGGACTTCAGGCGCACATTGAACGTTGGCAGTGTGTCTGCGTACTCTCCGGAGTTTTATGGTGGCGGCTTCTTGCAAACCAACCTGAAAACCCTCCTCTACAGGCACAATAAACTATATAAACATGTGCTTTATCTTTCGTAAAAGTTTAAAAGAACCGCATAACAATATCCACGCATTCTTAATTCTGCAAATGCTTTTTGAGCATCAATACGGTGAGCATTGAGAGCATTTTATAGCACCAAGTTTGTCACAAATTTTCAATTAATTGTCACGTCAACACTGACAACGTTCCAAGATGTCGGCGTTGGTCAGCGGCCTCAGTGGCCCAGCTTTTATCCTAGAGTGAGTGTACGATATACAATAAGCCGAGACTGCGGTGCAGGGTCCAAATCCGCCGGTGGCTACTGAAAGGGCTTCGACTTACCAAAAGTCGACCACACAACGCCATGCAAGCGTTGTCTCAAGTCACATGGTGACGCATAGTTCTTCAAAAGCGGAGGTTAGTCCGGAGTGCTCGAAGGAAAGGTTGAGGGCGAAAGTGGTGGAGAATGGTCACTATTTAGTTTTCGTTGCTCCCTTGATAAATATGTTCCGACTGAACCATGGTGCCAAATATTTGTTCGAGTAAATATATTAGCAAATGTTGAAAAACCATGCCAGAGACCCTCCAAAGAAGTGCGGAAAGCGTTTGTCACAACATCTTGTCATAAACTTGGCTTCAAAACATCACCGTTTATTCGTTCATGTTTTTGCTCTTTGTAAAAAAAGAAAAGTCCCTGAAAAGCTTTTTCTCATGGGCTGCGGGAAAGCACGTTTCTCTTTTGTACATAACCCATGTGCATAGTCTTATGTACTTTTTTTTGTAACCATATTTGCATTGACCCAAAACCATACAAATATTAATGTTCAGGACACCTTTCCAAAGCTGACTGATCACCATTTTTTCCTGGTCTCCCGCAACACCTTTGAATTCTCGCAAAATGAAATGAAAATAAAGTGGCACAGTGGATTCAGCAAAGTGTAGGGGCAGATGTCTCTTTGATGTTTGAGGTTCAGTCGAGCTAACACTCTGGACATCAGGTAAAGTTAACAACTTTACTTCGAAGCAGTTTAAGGCGTGAGCTTGCCTCTGCGACAATGGCGGCCAGACGCAATCATAAAAATGTTGAGCTACCGCTACGTTGAGCGAAAACACAGGCAGAGAAGAGTTTCCTAGCACAGCCTGAACGAAACACTTTTCATTTTAAAATATTAGTAATTTCGGACAATATACATTGCGAATCACGTTGCAGAAATATGCTAGGTCTCCAGTATATGTTGGCTTTCGCCATTTGGGCATAACAAGTGTCCCAGTATAGGGAACTCAACATTAAACTTGTTGAGTACTTTACATTCGTAACACTCAAGGATTCAATGATTACATTGAAATAATGGACGCCCAAGGGAAGGGGGTTCCCATGATGTGACGGATGACGAAAGGACAGCTTCAGAGTATACTCTCTGGGAGAAGGTAAACATATAAGGATCACATATATAAACAAAGGCGCAATTCATGAATTTAAAGAGCTTCTGAAGTACGCCGTTAATCTTGGTGATAAATTCCCTCTTTTCAAAGTCGCCTCTTGAGGTGTCTACGCGAACAGTTTGTCGCCCAACAGTTTTCTATTCCACGGCCACACTTCTCAATCAGTCTAGATGTACCCGTCACTGTAATCTCCACCATCGCATAGCGTACTTCTCTCGACTAGCGTTGGAGGTCAGCATGTTTCGCAGCGAAACAAGTTTGCCGGCGCAACAATTTTAGCACTCAGCATTGGCACTCGGCACTTACGGCTGGCATAGCGTACTTCTTTTCAGTCACATACGGCACATATGCACGAAATGCGACTTCGCTAGTGGCCACCAGCAAATGTTTTACACTTTTTGCGTTTCGTTTACTGGATTTGACGCACAGTTCTTTTAGTGTTTTCTGCCACGATTTTCTGATGACGGCGAGGTTCACAGCGATCCACGTTATGAGTTCAATTTTACTGGGAACAGTGGCATCTTCTGTTAAGGAAAGCCGCTTGATAAAAATATGCTAATGAGACTACACTATACACCACACGCTACTGTCAGTTTACACCTTAAGTAAAGAATTTTTCACTGGAATGTAAAATACTTTCTTGAAGCGACTTTACTAGCCAGTACATAGAGCAGGAACATCACGTAGGTGCGATATATTGTCTGCACATTTGAAGTGGTGCAGGACGAGAACAAAGGCGTAGATCAATGCGAAACCTCAAATCATCTTTCTCTTTTAAGACATTTCGCTCAATTTTGCAGGCCTTAAAAACAAGGCCTGAAAAGTACATCGTCATGCACTGCCAGACGATGCATCACAAAGTCAGCACGTACGGTTCAACGAAACTCTCTGTGTGCATTTGGTTAGGCGCCAAAGTCACAACAAAGAAAATCTTGGTCTAAGTGAAGTACTTTGAAATATGTAAGGGCTTCAGAAAAAGCGTACTCGCGAGTGCATCCCATCTTCCCTCCATCGGTTACATTCTCTTTGTATCATGCAGATTTTGCTGAAGTACAACATAGAGTACCCGAGAGAGGAGCTTGAATTTCATGGTCAACTCATAAACATCCCAAAGGACCATACCGACTTTTCCTTCAAGATGCGCCGACCAGAGGCTAACAGTAGCGACCTGTAGTCGGGTGCAGCTTTTGAAGTCGATCTGCGGCACTTCCCTCTCAAAGGCGGATGCAAAGAAGCGTGCACCGATTGGCGTGCATTCCTTGGACTGACGTCGAGAGCTGGACGGTTGGTGGACCAATCTCAAGAGAACATTGTCGCGTACATGAACTGGAGTATTTCGTTAGTCGCGGTGGTGATTAGCTACCACACTTCGGTCGTCTACAGGTGGGACGTCTCTGGACTTCTCAAGTTGTAGCCAACTATATATGTGAAATTCGCAGCTGCTACCTCCATGTAGCTGTGAATAATATAGCAGTGGTGTGAAGCCATCTTTTCGTTGCACTTGCAGATTTAAGTACATGGCCGGGTAAAAAAATCTAACGGTTTGAGTACCTATGTCCGGAGTAGTGTAAAACTTACCCACGAATAATAATCGGGCATTGGATGCTACCCCGTGTGTCGGTCTGGTTTTGCTAAATAATGAGGCGGGGGGGGGGAGTGATTTTAAAACAAAAAAAAGTGAGCCCCGTAACTGTCTCTCAGGGAGAGGACACCTCAACAGTAGCTCACGAGGGATGGGGGTAGGGAGAGATTAAAAGGATAGAATTAAAAGGTATAGAGATAGAGAGAGCGGCACGACAGAGCGAGGCGTAGGGAGAGCGACACACGGAAGTAAGGAGAAGATAGGAAAGGAGCATAGGAGTATAGGAAGATAGGAAGTAGGAGAAAATAGGAAGATAGGAGAAGATATTAAGGTAAGCGTAGGGCGAGTCCAGTCGGCCAAGCTGCGCTTTTGTCGGAGATAGCGGGGGCCCAACCGCTCGGCACGAAATGTTTAATACATTCCTGATCATTTATCTATGCACACCTTTTACGCGCCATGGTGCACGAATGAATATTGTTACGAGGGAGAAAGTATATGTGAAGAATATATTTCAAGCGAATGCGTACAACGCTGCTGCAGGCTATGCACGTTCCCCTCAGCACTTCGTCGTCCTCATTCTCAGGTATCCACTCAGCCCGTGCCATTACCCACCGGCGGCAGAAGCACCGTCACGGTGCGAACAATCTTCGGGGCGTCAGTAGAATGGTTTAAGTCGAGAGACGTGCACTATATCGGTCAGGACTGAATCTATTGCTGACGTGGTTTGGAGTGTAGCAATCTATCTGGTAACCTTGCGTATGACGCGGTAAGGGCCAACGTAACGGGACATGAGTTTTTCGCAGAGACCGACACGTCGTGATGGCAACCACATAGAAATGAGTGACCCCGTGGAGTAGTGTGCGTCGCGGTGCCGGCAATCGTAAGCATTATTTAGTTAAGCTGCGAAGCACATACACGATCCCGAATGACTTCGCGTGCGATGTCAGCACTGGCCGGGGCATCACGAGCATAGGCAGTCGATGAGGTGGCGTCAGAATGGAACATGGTGTCCATGGGGAAAAGCGGGTCATAACCAAACATAAGGTAAAAAGGTGAAAATCCTAGCGCTATGATGACGTGAGCATTTGTATGCGAAGGTAACGAAAGGTAAGTGGGTGTCCCAATCTTATAATCCTTGGAGACGTACATCGCTAACATGTTTGTCAGGGTATGGTTAAGGCGTTTGGTGAGGCCGTTGGTTTGTTGGTGGTACGCTGTAGTGAACTTGCGGTGAGTAGAGCAAGATCGCAGGAGCTCGTCGACAACTTTAGTTTGAAAACAGTGGCCGCGGTTGGTGATCATCTGACCAGCAGCACCATGACGCAGAATGATGCCATGAAGAATGAAATTGGCTACACTGCAAAAGATATTTTCTCTTGATGACGTAAAAAGGCGTAGGTAACATGCTGCCGGCCACTTCCGCAAAAAAAAAATAGTACACCAGGAATCACAGTAGAACACATGCAACATACAGCCCGATCATCTTTCACAGAGATCTCTGAAATGAAGAAATAAAGTAACGGCTGCTATGGAACAACACGTGCTCATCAGGGCAATTTCTCACACATTATTCATAACACTATTGCTACATGTCCGTAAATAACAGACGTTTCTTCACTGCATTCAACATGAGGCATACGTAATGAGCAGATCTTTCTTCTGCAAGTACAAGGTCATTCAAAATTTCCCAGGCCACTATTCCAACTAATCCTGTGGCAGCGTCACCTGAGAACTTTTGACGGCACCTGCACATGCTAAAGAATTTACGAAGTGAATTCAAATGTTAAAAAATCAACAAAGCAGGGGTTTCCTATTCATTTGAGTCAAATTTTATTTTCCCATGATCATCAAACGAAATACAGCACATACATGCTACAAACTGTGTGAACAAAAATTGTCAACAAAGTTATTTTATTGTTTCGGTTTTGTATGTGGAATTTAAAATACGAAGAAAGAATATCATGACTTCCAGATACCCAAAGCAGCTGTGTTGTTTGCCTATTGTAACAGTATTGTCCAGACTTCTTTTCTGAAAAAGAGGAAAAAAAATTTGTCAGCACAACCACACCAGGCGAGTACACAGCAAGAAAACAGTGCGAGCACAGTTAATTATTCATTTCAAGACTCCTAATAGGCCGTGTTAGAGACACTGGGCTTGCAGCACAAAAATAAAAGATCGCAGATAATAAGTAAAAATACGTATCCTACAGAATGAAATGGCTGAAAGCACAAGCAACTTCATAAACACGCCAAAATATTGGCTAACTATTTTAGTTGAGGTAAAAGGAGCGAAGGAGTAATTCAATGTATTGAACAATACAACGATTAGGGTTATGCCATGCAAAATCACCCAGCACTTTTTTGACCACCACGAGTATGGCGCAAAAAATTTTCACGTTTCTTGAATCCGGAAACTTGTCCTGGTCATTTGATTCCGTTGTCAAAAATTCGCTCCCTAGTAATGAGGGTCTGTAGTATGGCGCCGACTGAGCTAAATGTCATCAAAAAATTTTTTTTCAATAGTCCTTTTGCAATGTATTTTAAATTTTGTATATCAATTCTGTGAGAGCTTTTCCCGCGAGCAATAATGAATAATGTTGCCAGGTTTGGGATTTTTTCTTCCAAGGACACAAATAAAATATGTGCTGGTGACCTTCTTGACATGCTACAAATTAAAATAATTTACACACTGAAGTTTGTTTAGCAGATGATCGAATTTCACTTTTTTGAGAAAAGCTCTGTACTCAGCATTAAAAAGCTTGCCATGATGGTCGGCCAATAAACATGCAAAACATTTCATTTTGAAGCTCTATGTACTGCCTCAATATAGGTGAAGTTACTAAAGGGTATAATTTTTAAACTCGAGAAGTATTTTTTTAATTATGTATCTGCACCAGCTTTACCCCTACTTAACTCAAGCGGCGTAAAGCACTCGCAAGGGCAATCTTTAACAGACTTCTACAGACCTTGGGTACGACACAGCAAGCTTGATGCAGAACAATTGAAATCGGAAAGGGGCTATCATCTGCATTCCATTGCCAACATTGTAACAAATGTATGCAGTCAAAAAGGCCAGCAAGTATAGTGTCACATCAAAAGACGAAAGCCGGCACTCGTATTTGAAAATGATGTTACGAACTTCCACTGGAGGCCTTGCCTTGCAACAGGAAAGCTGCTACTCATCACAGAATAAACTCTTTAATTGCTATACAAGTGGGCAATGATGGGTCTGATCTTACTATTAGAAAAGTGACCTAAGCATGCGCTCTCCTAATTAAGGTATAGTTGCTGGATTTTCATACAAATCCCTTCACGGCACTGCCACTCATCCCACTGAAGTAATGTCAAAGTAATGAACAAATAGTTTGGATGCCCCAGAAGGAGCTAACTTGACTTTTTGTGCTCTAGCTGACTAATTTGGTATGCTGTCAAACGCAGTAACAATGTGCCAGCGATGTTTACAATACTCTTGCTGGTTGCCAGCACTAAATTTTCGCACTCACTAGGGTTCGAGGTTGCCAGGGTAAAGTTTTTACACAGAAATTACAACTGCGGGTCTTGAAGGTCACCTTTCTAAGGCTATGTTTTGAATGAGTGATGTTGAAAGCGAATTTCGAACTAGATAATGACAACAAAGTAAACATCAGTCTATATGGTACAGTTTGTTTCACACGGCATAACGTAGAAGAACATAAACAATGAGTATGAAATCTTGACTGTACTGCTATAGCGTCATGCAACGAAGATATAGGTGTGATTATGAGCTGCTTGATCACCTGTCACTGTTCCATGCTGCTCGACTGAATGCAGAACCATCCAGAATTGGCAGTGCAGGATGCAGTGAAAATGATGGCGCTTGATAACTTGCTGGTGATGCGGTGGCACAAATTCCTGCAACATCAGTTCACCAAGGTGCTTGTGGCATGAACAGTCATAGTAGCGCTGGCATGAGAGGCGACAGATTGCCCAAGAACAATAGAAGCAGCACCTGAAGAGAATAAATAGTGTGACATTGTAACTGCTGTGTCATGACCCCGTGATATAAATAATGTGCCATGCTTGTCTAACGTGATGTCAAAGCTTTTTCATCACTAAGGTGTGCATACCTGCACACTACTGTCTGTGGGATGTGGGTATGACCCACATGTGATTCACTGCCTATGTTAACTCAGGAACAGCAAGAGTGCACTTTGGAAATCTCTGAGTAAGCATAAGGAGACAATACAACAGTAAATATGTTGCCAATAATCGCAGCTTCACAGCGAGAGAAAAGTTTCACTGAAAATGTACAGTAAATATCAGTTGCGGCTGCATTTGAACCTTGGAATTCCAGAGGGTGTACATAGCCACACTAGTGGTTGTAAATGCTCCAGACAAGGCTAATCAGACATCGTATTGAAGCAATGTCAAGTGTGTTTGCAATGTTGGCTATCCTTGTTTAAAACAATGTAATAATAAAGATGTAGCTCGTGTATGACTCAACAAGCTGCAATAAAGCGCCGTTTTACCTGTCAGAAATTATGATATGTGTTTCATGGCACCATGGCATGCACCTGAGTTTGATAAATCTGAATGAAGTCTGTGCTCTTAAAAGCACAGATGTGAGTGCAGGCATAATACTGTACTATCAGCTACTCCTGAGGCATCAGTGCGATTGACATATCTGGTAAGTCCTTGATATGCTGACAGCTAAGTTTACAAAAATATATATATCAAATTAGTGACAATCGACTCAAGGAGTAAAAAAATGCAGCCAAGACAGCTTGTCATTGAATCTTTTACTAGAAATCGATCTCTACTAATCATAAGATTCACTGTATTGTATTTGGATTTAGTCCACGAGAATGTTTAGAAAACCACACTTTTGCAAAGTTATTTCTGTGCCCTCTGCTGCACTGTGAATGATAATTATATTTCAGGTATAACACTAACATAACTTTAAAAAAGAGCATGTTTACAACGAGTGTGTTAAATCAAATATATGTAACAAAATATAAAAGTGTATATGGGCTTCAAACACGTCTTG